AGAAAACGCCAAAATTGATTAAACTGTCACTTTTCTCGAAGTTCATAATTTTTTGCAGAAACGTCCAAACACAATTTCTTCACAGTTACAAAGAGCATGTCATATATCCCTTACATTGACGTTTTCAGGTTTTTCCGCAACTTCTCAGGCTTTTGGCGTCCTAACTAAAAACGATCAAAACTTGATTCTTCTTTCTCCATTTTTATCTCTGCAAAGAGCGTATATTAGAAGCTTCCAGGGTACTACTATAAAGAGGAAGACCTCTTCTTCCTAATGAAATTAGAGAGAAGCAAATCCGTTTACAAAGCGAAAATTACAAATTTATGAAACGACATTACTTTCGGGACAACCTACTGGAAGGCAAGAGAAGACAAGACTGCAGGCTTTTTGAATTCCGGAATTAGATCAGCAAATTATCAGCAGAACACTGAACAGAAGAGGTTATGTTAGGAGAGCTAGTGTGTGAGAGCACTTTGTGACATCATATAGCATAAAAACAACATGATTTCTCTTCGAAGGCACAAGCTGAAGTTCTGGACTCCTACCTTACCTCCTAACCTATTCTGACCGTTATCGTAAAACTAGGTAGAGATCTCTCGCGCTCTTGATCCATAGTAACAACTGTATACCATTGTGTTGGACATTTTTGTATCAAAATGTATACAAATGGTTAAGGTTCGTCTTTTCTACCTGTATTGAAGCATCAAAAACACTATTTCAGCTTGAATTGCAAGCCTACGACGAACCTGACGATGCGTACGAAAATCAGCAGTACGAGTAAGTTATGTCAGACTCACTCGGAAAGTTCTTATTTGTTTCTTTAGGTATTCACAGAATGAAGCTGTATCTGCTGAGAGCATCTCTATGGAGCCGCACATTTCTCTCGAAGATGCCGTTCCCGTCCAATATGAAGATGGTGCATAAAACTTTTTCACTTACCTGTTTTTTTCATAATTGCCCTGTACGTGCAATCATCTTACTTTCTTTTTTAATTTTGACGAACTGCAATGGTGGCGCCATTCGGATGTTTTCTGAACGCGCTTGTTTTCCAAATTGATTGTGATTATAGAGTTGGATGTTCGTGATGTTCTTTCGCTCAGTAATTCTGCAAATAGTGTGCAGCAAAACGTGCAGAATTTTGAAATCCTTCAACAACCATGAACAAATTTTTACAATACCGGATACTGGAAGGGTTACGTATCAAATTTGCGTAAACTATGCGAGCAGCTTATTCTCAACGCGTACAAATCAGTTGTATCGTTATTTTTTCCACTGTAGGATTCCCGTTCCTGTTGTTATGAATATTTTTGCAGAAGACCTCGATTACGCTGAAGATGAGCTTGTACCCGGAGGGAGCTCACAGATTGATGAATATGAAATGGAGGCCGATAGGATGGCGAATCGAGGCCGTCGGTGCGTCTTCGAATTTATTTGATTTTTTTTTTGTTTGTATCAGTTTTACATGCCTTTCTAATGGTAGGAAACAAGATAGCGTTGTGGGAAGGTGGGATACTTTACTTTATGCAATGTAGCGATTTCAAATTGGATAGTCTGCATCAAACTTACAAGGAAGGTTGGTCGAAGTGGCCTTTTGAGATGAGATGTA